TGAGTGGAGGGGGCGGAGGGAGACAGAGAGAAGGGAACAGGCAGAGGGAAAAAAGCTGAAAGGCAGCCCGGGGATAGAAAGTGTATGTTGGGTGGTAAGGCAGGAGGGCGCTGTGAGAGAGGTACAGGGATAGTCGCGTTGCGACGACAGGTTCTTAACCGAAAATACGGCACATAGGACCAGGAGGTTCGATCGTAGGGGTAGAAAGTTTTATCTTTCGGTCGGAGAGTCTCGTAACCACCTGTTGGGGTGGTGATTCCGCTCGAAAGCCATTGGAAATATTTTACTAGCCCTTTACTTTCGACATCGAATTAATCTCGAATATCCTGCGGCTTCATTGTGCCTTGATAGCGCACCTTTGAGTTTCTCGAACGACAGAAAGTGGAAAATGGATATACATTATACATATATATATAGAGAGAGATAGAGATGCGAACAGTATCGAGAAGGGAAGGAAACGTGTTTTCGAACAATTGTCAGGAATGCTTAAATTTTTCTACGTTTTACTTCTCATTCTTCTGAAGAAGAAGTTTTATAATTGCATCCCAGTGATCGGAGTAAATCATGGCATCGACAGATATTCTACTTATTCCTGGTCACTTATTTCGATCTTTCGCGTTTGCGTTTTCTTCCCGAGGCGACTGAACAGGAAGTGTTTCTTGCGAGGTACCTGTCGCCGGAAGGACCCGAACTCGAGGTGTCACGGTCCGTAAGGGCCGTGAGAGTGCAGGACGATAGGTGGATCCTTTCTGGACACAGCAGAACAGAGCAGGGCAGGCGAGGCCAGGGAGCAATGTCCCTTCGAGTCATCCCCTTCCTAACGTATATGTAAGGTATGCACGCCGTTACTCGCCTCCACGGTTACTGACTCTTTTTATCGAACGACAGACTTTTTTACGATTCCTTTCTAACTTCCCCTTTTGAAACGTTAACCCTCTTCGCTATGTCTGTCTGTGATTTCTCTTTTTCTTTCTTTCTTCTTTTTTCTGGAAAAGCCAGCTATCAATTTCTATTCGACGTTATACGTTCAAAAACAAAGTATAATCGTTCGAGGCAAGAATCGGGGAACAATGGTACCGTTATTCATTAGTTACAGTTTAAGTACTCCACTTACTAATCGCGCACTTTTCATGAGAATTCAAGTAAAATGGAATAAGGCATCGTCTAAAATGAATGGAAGGAACGACAGCCTGACCGTTTCCTTCTGCTCGTGGTTTCTTGGAATATCCTTTGCGGTCGGCAATGGATAAGGATATCTGCTTTGAACTCTGAACAACTGTCCGTCCGGCCGAGTCATGCTTCGCCAGGAAACTCGATGAAATCTCATCAGCGTATCTCGCCCTTTCTATTTGCGTTGACCTCAAAAACTCTAACGTTGACCTTAAAAGGGCCTCTCTTCAATCAGCACGGGGAACCACTGTACTTTCCAGAGCAAATAGGAAAAATATCGTTTACGCCTCTTAGGGTGTAGCTGGCATGATAAGATAGTCACTGCTGTCGCAGCGCATACATGTATACGTGATATTAAGGAAGGAGATAGAGGAAGAGGCATGGTTTAGATTTCTGTTATATATCTATCACATCGTTTTTTTATGCTATTGCTATTTTCGTTATATTTCCAAAACATCGATTCGACATTCTACAAACAAATAGAGATTGTACACTCGATCGGTATCCTCGGAGATCGTATGACATTATTGAATGACGAAATAAAAAGGAACGGGGGACGCCCTATATACAACATCTCTGTCTGTCTTTCCTTCTCTTCAATGGTCCTAATTAGGTACATACAGTGTACACACACGACTGTATTGCGACATACCAGTACCGTTCCAACTGGAAACCATATGCGACGGGGGGTTAAGTGTCGTCTTAACCTCCTTTCAGTGTTTGAATTCCTAAATCGACACCGATATCTATGTAAAAATTAGCTTTCCGTGTTTTTTATTTTCTCGGGTCTGATTTGCTGTTTATGTTAGATTTCTAATGGGTATATTATTTTATTTACTTTCATTATTTCATAAAATTAATAACGTAGTAAGATACAACCATACACCAACTGACTACATTGTTAATTCAATAAGGTTGAGTAGTTGTATGTGAAAACGTTCTACTTCTCATTTTACCATAAATCACAATATTTTTTTCGTTTTAGAGTTACTAGAAAGTGTGGCAACCGCGATACTATCATACCGTAACCTGTCACCCTTGACCATGTGATTAGCTATACTCCACCTTCGGCACTAAGAAGTACATGTATGTAAATCATAATGTAAATTCACATATGGTTGTCTCATCATAAATATCCGAACTGAACACATGTCCAATTTTGGTGTTCAGAAACGTACGAAGATATGAAGACTGTGATTGACAATTCTAGCCTCCCACGAACGTATCTTGTAAATTTCCATATGCATATCATTAACCCAAAATTAATTAATTTTCCTCCTTCCTAACGGAGTTGTTTATTTGAATAGAGTTAAAAAATAGGATATCACATATGCAAGTATATAACTGAATTATTAATTAAATAATATTACAATGTGTACAATTTATATTATATCGCATATTTTTTTGTAGGTTTCGTTTTATTTCTGTTTTACATTCCGACAATTTTCTTGGCCTTAAATATACCTAAATCTAGCATAGAGTATAATTGAGATCTGCAGGAATTGAGAGCACATCCCTGATCTTAATTATAACATTGTGGTCATGGTGGTGGCGGGCAGAGAACCGCGCAAGTGGCTTTTCGAGTATGAAAGGATCGTTGTGCTATACATCTAACGGGCAGCCACGAGCCTTAAAGGCGAGGCAAGGGCTTGGCTTTAGCTAAGAAGTCGGTTGGCCATCGAACGACGTTGCTAGTCGTTTCTCAACCCTTTCGTGGTTACGTCACGTTAAAAAAGCTATTTGGGGTCAACACCCCGCTGCAGCGACACGTGTAGTACTCCTCGACTCTGTCTCTCCGCGTCCTCCCTCGACCCTCTCCGCCGTCCTCTTTTCCCTGGTATATGAAGGCAACCGTCTCCTCTCTGCCTACTCCTCGCGATTCCCGACGCCATTGCTGCCACCTCCTCCGATAGTATCCCTTCTACACGACTTAGTTTCCACTGGATTTCTAAGTTCCCTAGATACTAGCTGAGCCTGTGTTCTAGCCGCGCACGAAGGAACGTCGTTCCACAGGCACTTTACTGGCCGAATCGTCGCGGCTATCAACGGACAGACAGTTCAAGGCTGTCAAAAGATCAAGAGACTACGGTCGACACCCTGTTTATTCATGAGTTACGTTATGATGGTATTAATTTGGGGATCGTAAAAGAAAAATAGCACGGTAGTGTGTTATATGGAAAAGATGTTTGGAGAATTGCGCGAAATCACGTAGATACACTCCTGCCGCTATAAATTAGGAAAAACCAAGATTTCTGATAAGATAAGGTATATCGGATCAGAATAGCTTGTAAGAAAAAACAGTTACTGATATTATTTGTATGTTGGTATTTGTTTCAAAAGATAACCAAAATCGGTCGTACATATCGAAGAAGAAATTTGCTTTGGTACATATATACTTATACGTATATATGTATTGTAAAGGAATACAGTATGATGAAGCATAGCAGGGAAGCCATGAGATTAGAATGGACTAATACGCAGCCCCAAGCGATACAGCCCTGGCCGTGGGCGCGCTAGCAGTAGGAGAGCCAACCAAGTTTCTCTAAAACCGCGTCGACGTAGTAGAATTAGCACGCTGGTCTTGCTAGAGCGAAACCAAGGACACTAGAGGAATACAGCAGAGAGGAAGTAACAGCAGCAACAGCGGTGGAGTGGCCTACGGTGGTGGTTACAGTGGCGGTAGCGGTGGCGGCAACTAGCAGAGGAATCGAATCATCGTGTGGCGGCGTCAGCGGCGGTAGCGAGTAGAGTCAAATCATCGTGG